TCCTCAAAAAGTTCAAGATAAAGAAAGAAAGCAGTAAATATGCATAATTAAATACAATTTGATAATTTTTTTAAAAATTATGCACACAGTAGACAACTACCCAAGAACCATCTACCATAGATTTGAGTCCTGGACTCTTCTCCATTATTAAAGAAAAATTGGGAATACATTTGCCTCTTGTACTAAAATCAAAATTAAGCAATGTTTCTCTAATATAAGTCATGTGCTAAATTAGCAATAAGGTTTTGTTAAATTTTTAAGACATAAAGAAATCTTCTTTTTTGAGACTGAGTCTCACTGTGTCACCCAGGCTGGAGTGCAGTGGCGCAATCTCGGCTCACTGCAACCTCCACCTCCCGAGTTCGAGTGACTCTCCTTCCTCGGCCCCCAGAGTAGCTGGGATTCTGCCACCATACTCGGTTAAATTTTTCTTTTGTATTATCAGTAGAGACAGGGTTTCACCATGTTGGTCAGGCTGATCTCAAATTTCTGACCTCAGGTGATCCACCCACCTCAGTCTCCCAAAGTGCTGGGATTACAGGTATGAGCCATCACACCCTGCCAAGATATAAAGAGATTTTAAAATATTCTCACCTAAGGACATATGTTTAATAAGATTGGAGTTTAGCAACTCATGCTTTAAAAAATTAAATAGGCAACTTAGCTGGGTGTGGTGGTATGTACCTGTAGTTCCAGCTACTCAAGAGGCTGAGACAAGATGATTGCTTGAGACTAGGAGCTCAAATCTAGTCTGGGCAACATAGCAAGACCCCATTTCAAAAAATGAAACAAAAAATCAAAGAGGCAACTTAGAATAAATAGACTTGATAGCTGACAGGATATATCACAATTTTGCCTTTCTCCTTTTATGCCATCGTTTTTATTAGTTGTCAAAATAACTAATTTTATATTCCTTGCACCAAAGGAAAGATGTTTATCTTATAATTTTCCATTTAAAGAATTAAACCTGTAATTATTTTTTGCTATATATAAAACTGAGCTGCTCCAGAATTCTTCTGTCAAGTACACACTTCTTATGAATCAAATGTATCATGAAAATGGCAGACAGTAATGCCATTTATTAGGAACATTGTACCTAGCCCCAGCCCTAATTTTATGCTCAGAAATACTTATGAGGAAGGAAACAGAGAATTTAAATTCCTTTCAAGGAAAAAATTTATATTTTCATGGAAAAATATTAATCATTGGTAAGACAATAAAGGTGCATATTCTTTGATTTTATGGAAATATTTCTTCATTCATTCTCTTCTCCTTTAACAATTACATGATAAAAATAACAATCTATTTATTTGGAATATTAATATGTGCCAAACAGTTTAATTTTAAGTTTTTACCTATTGCTGTCAGACTCAGATAAGAAGAAACACTAGTCAATGAAAGAGAGACTTTTAACATTCTCTGGAAAAGACAGCAATATACACATCAAGACTGATATGGTTTGGCTGTGTCCCCTCCCAAATCTCAACTTGAATTGTAGCTCCCAGAATTCCCATGTGTTGTGGGAGGGACCCAGAGGGAGGTAATTGAATCATGGGGACCGGTCTTTCCTTGCTGTTCTCATGATAATGAGTAAGTCTCACAGGATCTGATGAATTTATCAGGGGTTTCTGCTTTTGCTTATTCCTCATTTTCTCTTGCTGCCACCATGTAAGAAGTGCCTTTGATTCTGAGGCCTCCTCAGCCATGGGGAACTGTAAGTGCAATTAAACCTCTTATTTTTCCAGTCTCAGTTATGTCTTTATCAGCAGAGTGAAAACAGACTAATACAAAGACTAAAAATAAAGTCCATATCAAAGTTGTTTTATCTACAGACCTTAGTATATTGTTGAACATAATGTAATAAAGTCTATGGACAGTCACAATGTAATCTGATTACTTCATAATCACTGGTATTTCATCCTCATGTGATTCTTCGAGAAGATGATTATTGGCAGGAGGTTAAGCCAAAGACCCTGATGAAGCCAACACAATAAAAATCATACCTTACATTTATCTCTCCCTATAAATCCTTATTTAAGACTTAAGCTACAAATGCTTCCTTCTTAAAGGTTCACAGGGGGAAAATGATAGAATATGGAATAAGATATAAATTTAAATTTTGATGCGGACAATAAATTACAGAACAGAAGTACCAGAAACCTCATGTTCCCTGCCAACAAAGTGTACTCTTTTAAAAATGATGGGCTTCATCCAGGGTTGATTAAAACTGAAACCAATCCAGTAATTCAATGAGAGCTTAATGTCTCATTACAAGAGATGCTTGTATTTCAATTCGGAGAAAATCTTGTTTTTAAAAATAGCATTATTTTTAAAAAGTAAATCTCATTTCTCATTGATTATACTATATGCTGTAGAACAGAATGTGGCATAAGATACCCACCATGGGTATAATCCAATTGGAGAGATAATTGTTGAAATAGCTAAGACATGAATTATTTTTGTTAGCTCCAGCTTCAAGGAATTCCACAGCATGGACCCTAGCCAAGTATTATAATGAATCTACAACATTACCCTACCCCTGAATTGTGGTGTTCTGTGTTATATCAAAGAGATCTCAGAAAACCTTCTGTGATTTAAAATATTGCAAGATTTTTATTCTTCCATAAATAGAAGAGTTCCTCAAGATTATAGTCCTAATTTTCCCACTCAATTCAGAAATAAATCCCTTTGATTTCAACGGCATTAAGATAAAGTCTATTGTATATGCAGATGGGTGTAAAGGATTAAATTGCCAGATTTATTTTTTAAAACTGTAACACCGAAAGGAGCAATACAATATCATTCAAAAAATACCATTGAAAATGGAGGTAACTCATAAAATCTTTAGATAAGGCTTTGATATTTTAAAATTCTTACAAAGTAAAGTTTCTTATTAAGGAACACATAACATGGGAAAGCCTGTAGAAAATATGTGGAATAATTTAAAGGGCCTAAAGAAAAAAAATTCATATCACATCTGAGACCTTTGAATAAGTTAAATGTTTATGGTCCAAAAACTATACTAGCCAAGAGACAATAACCTACATTAGTACTTATACAAATATTCAGCCCCCTCTGGAATAACATTATTTTAAATTTAGATGTCATGTTTGTATTTCGTACTAAAAATAGAAATAATTTTCCTACAGAACGTTTTATTTAAAATTAAAAACACAAAATCTTTTGCACATGAACTTGTATAATAGGTTAAATATACATCAATACCACCATACACATTTATGAAATGGGTTTCTAATAAAATTGGAAATTAAACTAATGACTCTTCATCTTTACTGACTAATGAATACATTATAAACTCTATAATTTAGTTAATTGGAAGAGAATTCTGGAAACAATCCTAATGGACAGAGATTCTGGAAACAGTACTGACATCTAGTCTTATCTCACAGAAGACTTTCAGAAAGATTAACTTTCATTTTTCTAAATAGGAAATTTACATAGTAGCAGAACATAGTTCCAGGAGAATGTGCCTAGATGAGGTGAGACAAGTATGAGGGAAGGATGAGTATGAAAGCAGGCTCCTTAACTCCTCTTTGTCTCACTGCTGATGGAGAGCGATTCTCCCACATCTGTGAAAGCACACACTTGTGACAAGTTTCCAGAAATAGTCATCCAAAATAGGCAGAGTCTGTGGTGTGGGAACTCTGCCACCATCTCCCACCATTATGGCCCTAAAGTGTGGAATAAGGGGCAATGGAAAAGTGTCCCTTTCCACTACCTCCTGAAGTCTCCTGAAATCCGTGTTTTAGTCCCATCTCATCTTTTAACAGGCAATAAGGGGTAGAAATTCAGGAGAGATGCTAGGGAAAAAGCTGCAGATTTTCCTGCAGCCTAGTGAACCTACAGTTCAAAGCATTAACATATACAGAACATAGATTGGACACTACCTGTATATAATTTGGAATTAATGTCTACCTATACACTACTTATCCCACTAACAATTCCTGCTTATTAGATAAGAGATCATACAAAGGTTTTACTCTTCAGATCATGCTAAAAGAATAAGAATGTAGGTTTATAAACCAGTGATCAAAATGCCACCTGGTTGGCAAACAACGTTTTGATAAATGATAGTAACAGTCTTGAAACTCCATAATTACACAGAAAAAAATGGACTTAGTGCATTGAGAAATAAATTGACTAAATACATAATCATAAAAGTAATATATGAAATGGATAATTTCACAGACTTGGTAAGTCATTTCACTTTGATTCTGATATAACTCTATTTGGCTTTCATTTAAACATGCATAACATACTTATTAAACAGGAGGCTTTAATTTAATTTACCTACTTACGTAACAACCTATAATTTTATTATAAATGACCCTTAATAGCAAAGCAAAAATCTCTTGGAGCCATGTGAAAGCAGTTGGGTCACTGACCGTCATCTCAGTCTTCCCTTCTGTTGATGAAAGTGGGACCACTGGATGGCAAGAATGGATGTGTGAAGAGGTTTAGTCCACAATGGAATCTATGAGGCTGAGTTGAATACTCAGCTATAATATCTGAGTATCAGTATTATGATGGAATGGTGGAAGCCACTGTTAGTCACCAAGTATTTACCAGTCAACAACCAATGTGGCCAACTGTTCACAAATAATCCCATTTTACCCCAATTCTTTTGATCAATATGGATACATATGAAAGTTCTTGATATGAAAGTTTTTGAATATAATAATTATTTAAAATTCCAAAGAAGAAGGATTTATCCAAATCTGAATCAAGTTTCCCAAAGCAGCTTGACAGTGGATTAAACATCTCTAGGCTCATATTCAGCCTCTACTGATAAACCAATAATGTCTACTACAATTATATTCACCAAAATGTTTTCACCACATCATCCTAAACTGAGAACGGAATATTATTTTAGTAAAGGCAGAACTTTAAAACAGAAATCTTCCCAACAGAAATTTTAGAAAACATTTTAAAAATCACATTAGAAACGTAAAATTCACTATTTTTGAGCCAACACTGACCTTCTGTTCCAAAAGCAATGTGTTTGTAGGGATTGCTGCAAAAGCCTTGTAGCTTGACTTGGTCTTGTATTGCTAGAATGGGCAACCAGAAAGCAAGAGTAGATATGAAAATGGGAAAGAACATGACATAATTTTCAGACAGTTCTACCAAGTTAAACGACACGTTATCAAATGAAGAAAATGGTTATTATACTGAACAACTTGTTTCTGACAGAAACAATTAGCTTACCATGTTAATATTTTATTAGAATGAGAAGCAAATAAGTGCCACAGTAAAATACCAGCCTAGAGATTACAGGCAATTATATGCCATTCCGTTTCAGAACTTAAAAACTTCCTTTACACAAAGTTATATATAAATTTTTCATTAGCAGCATTCCCCCATAGGAGTACTATTCTATACAAGAGGACAGGAGGTGGTTCTGCTTGATCCTCAAAGGCATGTTTCTTTTTAACAGTCTCACAATTAACAAATATTATGCCAGTAAGTGTAATTGAGCTCTTGATCATTTTCTTGCATCATCCATAAAAACAAAGATCAAAATACATAAAAATTAGCAGCCATTTTTTTATGCAAGCAGCAAAGTAGTCAATAATTTGAACATAAACAATATGAGCAATGTAACCCCATAAAGAAAAACAAAAAGTACACACGCTTGATCTTAAACTCATTTTTTAAACCTCATCATCCCCTGCACTTTCTAACAGTTATGTTAATGAAGCAAACGTTAAAACTTCCTAAGTGTTAAGTACAACTCAGAATAAAATAGTTCAGTGTTGTAGAATATTTGGGGGAGAGGGGCGAGCATGAGGAAGCTGTAGAAATCAGGATAAATATGCATAATCAAAAACTCAGTTTTGATACTGCTCTGGGTCTCCAGCTGATTAACTGAGTTCAAGGCTCCTGTCCCTTCAGATGCCCTTGTCTCAGGCAGCTTCCCCAGTGGCCAGTACCAGTGAGGAAATCGGCACAGAGCTCCAGGCTCTCTTAGTGTCTTCAAAAGAAAACCAAAGTGTCTGCAGAAGACAGTGTCATCAAATAAAATTAAGCCTTGGGTTTTATAGATGTAATTGAAGGAAACTTCATTAAAGTGGGGTGGTGAAGGTAAGAGACTGGCACATTCATTTTCCTTAGGAAAAAGTTGAAGTTGTGAGGAATCAAAGTGCCAGATCTAGAAAAAGAAAGTCAGCATCCAGCTAACAGCAGGATGCATTCTCTTTTTTACTGTTTTCTTTCTTTTCTTGGTATACTGAGCTAGAGATAATGAAAAAGCCTGCATGCCAGCAAGTGGCATTATCACACTAGCCAGATAATCAGTCACCCACAAACACATGCTCACTTACACACTCTTATTCATACACATGAATATATACATATATATACGTACTCACATACAGACACACACACACTCTTTCACAAACACACACCCAGCTAAAAGTGCACAAGAGCTCAGAAGCTACACACTTTTTCCCAAAAAATGTACTCTGAATATTTACTTATCTTCCACTTTCCCTCCACCATATAGCTCTTCTCCCATAGGAAGAAGCTATATGGCTTTCTGCAAGCCTCTCAACTCTTAAGGAACCTACTCTCCCATCTTCTGCATGAGAGGCAATTGCTGGAAGATGTCTCAGGTCACTTCAAGCCCTAAGTTGCTACATTGACCCTGCCCTGCTGTGGTCTCTAGACAAAAAGATATTTGAATAAGAATTGAAATTGAAATACTATCTTTCCATGGGCAGTAGGAGCTGACATTTACTACTATGCTGACATTTATTATTATTACTCACTTAATTTTACAGAAGCCCTATAACTAGAGAGTTATTAAGAAAAATGACTTGTCCAAGATCACGCAGCCCATAAAGAGCCTGCCTGTGTCCAATATACATGCTTTCTCTATAATATTTTTTTCCAAAGAATACATAAGCATACATGTAATGCAGAATAAAATATACCATCTCACTCTATGATGTCTTCATGAACAGTTAATTGTAATTATAGTTGCAAACATAACAGTATCTAGCAATCACTATGAGCCAGGTACCATTCTAAAAGCTTCATGTGAATTAACTCACTCAATTGTCACAACAAAGCTATTAGGTAGATACTATACTATCCCCATTTTATATATGGAAACTGAGGTACAGAAATGTTAAATAACTAATTGAAGGTCACCAGCTAGTACATGTAAGTCATGGCTGGAATTTGGACACAGGCACTCTAGCCCAACAACTATGCACATATCTACAAATGCCCTTGCCTCTCATTTCAGGATGTGCAATCATTTACAGTGCTTGTTCTCCTATCCTCAACTTCCCTAAAGAATATAGCTGGGAAAGCCTGTACAGAGACATATCTTGTTATTGCACACAAAATGTCACAGAATCTTACAATAAGAAGTGATATTGAAGGTGATTTGGTTCAACCCCCTCATCTGACACATGAATCTCTGTTCTGTTTAGTAGCCAAATGAACAATTGCTTGCTTCCCAAGGCAGCACATTCAGGTCTAATTGTTAGAATTAGTACAAAATTCTCCCCTACATTGAGCCAAAATATGCTTCCTACTAATTTATCTCATTGGTCCTATTTCCCCCCTCTTGAAATCATGGCTCATGCCAAGAGCTCTCTTCTACATAATTATATTGCTTCCTTCACCAACTCCCTGATACTCAAGTGAAGAATTCCACTACCCTCATTGCTCTCCTCTGATAATATTCCTTAAAATTATAAAAAGTGTTTACCTAGATGTGTTTTTAGCACACAGTAAAATATAATCATCACTTCCATGATATTGACAATAAACTCAATTAATGTAATGAAGATAATAATTGGGATCATCTCCTTAGTTTTTGTGGAGAGTTTTAAAATATGCAAGAAAGGAGGTTGGAGTTATTTCATATTGTTGGATCGCACTGAGTAGGCTATCACCTAAATTCCTAATCCTTTCATCTTTTTTCAAAACATTTGCCGTTAACTCCATCCTATATTTATGCTTATTTATACTTTTTTAGACCCAAAAATAGGGCTTTAGGCATTATCTTTACCAAGTTTTATCTGATTAGATTGGGTTTGTCATTGTAAGCAATGAAGATAAGAATTTTTGGATTATTTCATGAAACATTTTGTTAGGTGTGTCATTTTTATCTTCACTCAAATCATATACTAAGGACTAGGAGTTCCTGCCACTGGGTTCTCTCAACTTGGTGGACATTAACTGATCCTGTAAATCTGTTTATGGATGTTCAACTAACATATTTATTCAAGAAATTTTTTCTCTTTCTTTTTCTTTTTTTTGGGGGGGGGGTGGTGGTGTGGGGAGACAGTCTTTCTCTGTTGCCTAGGCTGGAGAGCCATGGTGCGATCATGACTCACTACAGCCTCTACCTCCTGAGCTCAAGTAATTCTTCCACCTCAGCCTCCAGAGTGTCTGGTAGGAAAGGCATGTGGCACCATACCCAGCTAATTTGTTTTTAATTTTTTTGTAGAGATGGTTTCTTACCATGGTGTCCAGCTTTGCCTTGAATTCTTAGGTTTAAGCCATCCTCCTGCCTCAGCCTCCCAAAGTGCTGGGATTACAGGCATGAGCCACCATGCCTGGCCAAGAAGTATTTATTGAGTACCTACTACATGACATGCACTACTCCTCTAAGACATACGTACCCTTTCCTTTTCAGTCTAAAATTCCCATGTGTTGCCAAAAAAAGACATGTTTTGAGTCCACTCTCTCCTCTGGGTTCTCTTAACAATATATACTCAATCTAAATATGAATTTTTTATTCTAATTTGGAACACATTTCCTCTTAAGCATTTCAAGGCTTCCAGGTGCTAAACCAAATTCATTCATTTTCCTTTTTGGCTTAAAATTATTAATCATTCTAATGTGGAATTACAGGGTTAGAGTAAACATTAGCTAATCATAGGAGGTAAAAATGACGGGCCTAAACCTAAATCTGGCAAACGATGCAATAATACCTATTGGTTCTCTCCAATTTCTAATCTATGCTTTCAGTTAACATTCAATAAATATTTCTTAAATATCTTCTGCATGGTGCAGGTCAACGTTTAGGTTTGGAAAACAAAATGGCATTTTATTACTTATGTTTACCAGAGCTAATCCTGTTTATAAGCAATGCTAGTTGCTAGCTGCAATATAAATGCTGGGTTAGAAGGTAAGGATAGCAAGAACACATTCTGCCCCTTCAGAAAATATTTTCCACCAAAGTCATATATCCTGTTGCTGATGCCTAAAATTCCACCACAGGCTCTAGTAATAAACATCCATGAGGTCTTAAAGTGAACTGTTAGTTGCCTTGAGGATCAGGGGTTTGGACTCACAGTTACACTTTAAGTGCAGTAAATCAGGGGCCCCTAATCCCTAGATTCAATTGTCACAACAAAGTACCTGTTAGGAATTGGACCAAACAGCAAGAAGTGAACAGCAGGCAAGTGTGTATGGCCATCTAAGCTCTGCCTCCTACCAGATCAGCAGCAGCATTAGATTCTCATAGGAGTGCGAACCCTATTGTGAACTGCGCAGGCAAAGGATCTAGGTTTCATGTCCCTTATAAGAATCTAATGCCTGATGATCTGAGATGGAACAGTTTCATCCCAAAACCATCCCCAACCCCCTAATCCATGGAAAAACTGTCTTCCATGAAACTGGTCCCTGGTGCCAAAAAGGTTGGGGACCAGTGCAGTAAATGAAAGAAGCGTGGATTATATAAACAATAGGATGAGGAAACCATGGTGAAGAGCCTCACTACCATCATGTCCAACTTCTTCCAGAAGCATTCCTGGGCAGAGATGAGAGCATCACTCTACATGTACACTTTCTGCTCCTCAGTGATCGTGTCTGTCTCACCTGAGTCAGAATCTCCTTGACATCAGTCCTGAGATGAAAGCTCAACCAATCCCTAATCCAATTCATAGGAGATTGCCCAGACACTTCCTTATATCTGGATTACTGGCAGAGCACAATCTATAATGATCCTGATAATGGAAAAGCTAGAGGTAGAGGATATAACTGTCAAAAACTGCCTGGCAAAGCAGATAGGCAAGGTAGCAACTGA